TTAGGATCCTTAGTCCTGTCTCAGATGAGTTGTTAGACTGGTCAGATAAACAATCTGTGCCAGATTCTAATACATTGATCCTGATTTTTTTTTGTTTGAGGAAAACATCACAAGAGATTTCATGTTGAAGAGTACAGACATCTTAAGTGGCCACAATTGCTCCTTCTGTTTTGACTGTGTGAGAGAAAAGAGAGGAAGTCAGAAGGAACGTTAATCAGCAAGCTAGACAAGTAACTGAAGGTTCTCCCTTTATTAGCTGTAATAGCTCAAGGCTGGTGAAAAGAACACTTCATGAACCACTGAGGCACCACTGTAAGATGATGCTTTAATGTCAAGTTGGCATGAAGACATTGAGCTATTACTAGACCCAGCAGGATATAGGTTACAAAATAGAATTCAGGACAAGACAGATAGGGATGCAGAGACTATAAATATACATGAAAACTTTTTGAACATTTCGTGTGAAGTGTATTTGGCCCTAACAAATTGCTTTAAAAAGACTTTCTAAAGCTACATTCATTAAGATTACACGAAAAGTTACATATTAAGCAAATTTTTATATTTTAAAGGGAAGGATAAGAGGCAAGCTCAATTATAATGTAGCTTTCAGATAAATTATTTATCTGGTTATTGAGGCAATGCAAAACACTGTCATCTTGTAAGAACACTACCTAGTATTTTAGGGGTAAATATAATTACTGAACAGTTGAACTAAGGACAAAGGGAAGTAACATTTATGAAGCATTCTTCATGTGTCAGTGATTCTTACGTTTATGTTTTTTATCTCATTTAATCCTTAAAAGAATTTCAGTCACTTCTGTGGTTTAAAGAAGTTAAAAACTTGTCTGAAACTTCCCTGAAAGAAAAGAGCTATGATTCTATTAAAGTTCTACCCAACTGCAATGCTGACATTCCTTCTGCTCCCCTCACTTCTTTGCCTCACTTGGAGGCTGAATACCCAAATCTTAATACATGAAATAAATGTCATGATCACTTATTTATGAAATGTATCGTTGATACCTGGCTCTTAGATATATTGCCAATTTCACTTAATGACATAACAATCAGTAAAAGGAAAATAACATTCAGATGCAAATAAAAATTCAACTCAAATTTTACAGGCATTAGCCTCCTTCAGCCTATGTCAGCAACTGCTATACTCAGATGTATCTTACTCATCACACCTCTCTTCTCAAGTACATGACACCCTGGGTCATTAGCCCAGTTATGGCTTTCATGTGCATATATTTATGGTACCTGATTTCCTATAAATGTGTAAGATAAAAGTTTTCCTAAAGTAACTAGGATAATTTGATAAAAGACAAATGAATAAATGAAGTGGAATCTGCTACAAATAACTCAAAAAACAAAAATCAAAGCAAAAGAAAACAATAGCTATAACCAAAAAAGACTTCTTATTTCCTCCTGAAATGACTTCCCATCTGCTTTTAAATGGCAACATGTTTTTCCATTCACTGGAAGCCACAGCCAGAAGCCAAAGACAATGAGCTCCGCGGCCACGGGGGAGCGGCAGGCGGCAGAGAGTGCTGAAGGATGTGCTGCCTGCTTCAGCCTCTCCTTTGAGGCTTCTCCCTAGTGACTGCATTCGCCTTCCAGCTGGCGACACACTTCCTCCTGGGACCCTCCTGAGGATTAAAAAATGCTTCAATTCTCTGTATATGCTCTCCAGAGAGGGAAAATGGACTAACTCAGAGAGGGTATAAGGAGCTATTTCAAATAGTGGGCCTGTGCAAACTTTCATGGAACAATGTTGATTGGGCAAAATAAAGTACTGTTGTGGTGGTGTGCCGTCGAGTCGATTCTGTTCTGACTCATAGTGACCCTTTAGTACCAAGTAAAGAGAAAATACATATTTTTAAAGCACTCCCCATCTCCATCTCTGTCATCTTCTAGAACTTTTTAATTATCAGTAAAAAATGCTCACCACAGTTGAACATTTTGTTTCTAAAACACAATCAGAGCGCCAGTGATTTCCTCATCTCCGGCTCACCTGGCCAAATTTCTTGTTCATATAGCTAACTAACTGTGTACACTTAAATAAAATTAATTTGACACAATCTTGAATATACTACTCTCCTGTGACAATTAGACAATTAACTGATTGGTATTTTCATTTTTAAACCAAAAGTGGCCACTCTGAGAAACAGGCTGTGCCTGCAGCAGGGTACAGCGCCACAAATAGAAGACTCCTCTTATGACAAATGGGAACTGAAGTCTAGTTTTCCTGAATATAATTTTTTACCTTCCACTTCCCCATCCCAGTTTATCAAGGGTTTATTAAACATGTTCTGTGTAGTAGGATCTGTACTGGAGCATATGGTCTCAGCCTGGGGAAAACATAAATTAGTTACATTAGTGGTAAAGCATTGAGCCTGGCAGAAGTCAGGCAACTGAGGTCCTGGTAGAACTCATTTTACTACTAAAAAAAAAAAATCGTATCTAATATTGGTTTTCAAACATTGCAGCACCATTTTTTCTGTTAAAAGAAGACACACAGGGAACAGAGACAGGATCTTATATTTTATCTGGAGCTAAGCTTTACCCGTTGCCAAAACCAAACCTGTTGATGTAGAGTTGATTCTGACTCACAGAGACCCTATAGGACAGAGTAGAACTGCCCCATGGGGTTTCCAAGGAGCAGCTGGTGGATTTGAACTGCTGACCTTTTGATTAGCAGCGGAGCTCTTAACCACTACACCACAAGGCTCCAAAGCTAAGCTTTACCTGTCCTAAATATCATATTCATTAACTTTAAAAAAGTTTATATTGGTAACATTGTTAGCAGCCGTGAATTGGTCATGGTGAGCCCATGCACAACATCGCTCTGTGCCACCCCCATGATTGGTTGCAGATTGGACTATTGTGATCCACAGGGTTTTTACTGGTTGATTTCCAGGAGTATATCACCAGGCCTTTCTTCCTAGTTCATCTTAGTCTGGAAGCACCGCTGAAACTTGTTCAGCATCATAGGAACATACAAGCCTCCGCTGACAGATGGGTGGTGCCTATATGTGAGGTGTACTGAACTGAACCCAGGTTTCCTGCATGGAAGGCGAGAATTCTACCACTGAACCACCACTGCCCCTGGTTTAATGATAATTATTCTCTTGAAACAGTAAGAAACTCGTGTAAATTGCCTAAATATTCAGAAAGAACAAAAGAGTGAAAAAAACCTGTCTCAGGTTTTGAAATGCTAGTGCTGCTAAGATGAAGCTCTGGAACAGAACTGCTATGAAGTTGTAACAATACTTTGATTATAAATAGGATATCCCTTCCCCACACAAGCAATTGGGACACAAAAATATAATTTGAGGAGGGGAAGAATTTAATGCTATTTCTCCTGTAGCTATTTTTAAAAGCTCCAATATAAAAATAAATCAGAAATGTGCTTACATTTTATACTGAGTAAGGCATGTATTACATGAGAATTAGCAAGCTGGGACAATTATTCCTGGCACCAAATTAGTTCTTTCTCTTCAGCCAGACAGAACTTCATTAACTTTTATTTTTGCTTCGTATTTCAATGTTACTTCTATGAATTACTTTAAAGTGAGAAAGGCACATTTATACTATATTAATTGCTCTTCTACTTCACTTAGAACAAGTGAAAGATTTAGGGCTTCCTTGCTGCTTCCTGTAAACCAACATAACATATATGTGATAACATACACGTGATGCTGCCCCGTGGTCTCATAACAAAATGAAACCTAGAAATGCTGGAGCAGGTTATCAACAGCAACAGAAGTCATTTTAACTTCATGGATGGTCATGCCAAAGAAATACTTATAAAGATTACTGTTTCAGATAAGACTTAAAGACTAATGCACTTCAAGTGCATCTCAAACTACTTTGTACATGGCTTTTTTCCAGTCGAGTTGGAACACACAACAGGGGAAATATCAAATATCCATAGTCCTTAAGATAAAACTATAAGTAGATTTGATAATTTATTTTGGTTGTTGTTATTAGCTATGACTACAGACATACTAAGTCCAATTTCACATGTAAATTTGTCTATAGTATTCTCCAAGTACCACTAATGACCTGTTATGTGCTAATCTCTTAGGTTTTTCAAGAAAACAGAAACGAACAATAGCAAGCAAAATAGGATGTAGAGTCCCAGCCTGTTGGAAAATTCAGAATGAAAAGACCCTACACTTCTTATTTAGAAAAATATTAATTTCCTGGTGCATATCCACATCAGTGGTATTCAGGAGATATTTCTGTGTTAAGGAATATAGTCTGTCCTTTTCTTAAGAAACACATGTAGAAAAATTACAGAATTATTTTAATGAAATTTTATTTTGTAAATAAAATCAACCTAAGAGTTGCTAAGAAGAGGAAAACTGCTTATCTGTCATACTTAAAGTGGTTTTCATATTTTTATGAAAGTCTTTCATATTCCTATTACAAGTATATTTTCATAGTTAGGGGCAGAATGTGTGTCCCTTTTACTGTTTTTATGAGAGAATCTTTGTTAATACACAAGTAGATTGTGAAAATTTTCCAAAATGATAGAAGATGTTAATAATACAATCCCTTTGCCTACCCCTTGTACTTCAGGGTGCTTTCATGATATCCTAATTTCATTTTTATGATATCCATGATACAACAGTAGGAAGTCTCCATTTGACAGGTAAAGAAATGAAAGTTTACAGAAGTGTGTGAATGGCTAAAAACTGCTGTATGAAGAAGCCCAACACAGAATCTTCTGACTTCTAGTTCTTCTTTCCACTATATTATGCTACTTCTCCAAAGACTACATTTTGAGAAATAATACAAACCGTGTAAGAAACAATCGACATATAGGCCAGGTAAAATGCAATTTAGCTCAGTGATTGTCATGTACGGCATTTCCTGTTTTAAGATTTTTAATACATAATCATTTAAAACAGTTGGCAGCAAGCAGTCTTTTCTTGCTAATGGACCCAAGCGACTGCTTCCCTTACACCAAGGTATTTTGAGGGGAATTGTCTTACCTCTGCTCCTGAATATGTATCTGTTTGGAGGATGAGTTCATCTAGGTCAACCCCATTACTGATTGGCATAGAGCGAAACTGCAGGTTAAATATTTCCTTTCTTGTTGCTGCATCTGGTAAAGGCACATAGATGATTCTATCAATTCTCCCAGGCCGCATCAAAGCCTATAAAGAAGATGAGGCAACATGGATTAATCAAGCTCAGAAATAACATTCCACATCAGGCACCAAAGGAAAAGGGATGTCCAGAATCTCAGGAACAACTCACTATTATTCTTCATTAGTAAATAAAACAAGTACTAGAGATTCTATAATCTATTTCAAGTATTTCAACAAAGAAACAATGTTCAGAGTACTTCTGAAACAGAAAAGCAGTATTTTTGGAGGCTTTCTGCTCCTCAGCAACTGTCAGGTCAGCAGAAGATGATTATTCTCTTTTAGGAAATATGTATATCACTTACACTCATTATATCAAAAGGAACTGTTAGTAAATTGCTGTAATAAAAGCAGAACTTTTGACATAATCTCCCATAATTCCATCTTTGTATTTCTTTATCACTCAATGATATTGTCCAAACATATCATTAATAACACATATAGATTGAGTAGGTCTAGCTTACAAAACAACTGTTGGCAAGATCAGAGGATACAAATTTAAAAAAAAAACACCCATATTTTTATATACCAAGCAGCAAACAATTAGAAAATTAAATTAAAAAAATCCATTTATGGGAATACATTAAAAGATAAAAACATTAAAAACTTGGGAATAAAATGAACAAAAGGCATGCACAAGCACTTCACCAAAAACTACAGAAATACTACTAAGAGAGATTAAAGATGACCTACATAAATAGAAAGGTATACCATTTTAATAGATTGGAAGACTCAATATTGTTAGGATATCATTCTCTCCAAATTTATATATAGATTCAACACAATCCCAATCAAAACTCCATATAAAGATTATAATAAAGAAATTGACAAGCTGATTATAAAATTTCTATGGAAACAAAAATGAGAAAAGTGAAAGCATCTTAAATGATACTGCAACAATTAGATATCTATTTAACTTGAAATGGATCATAAATCTTAATGTAGAAGCTAAAACTACAAAACTTCTAGAAGAACTATAAAAGACAAAATTGATAAACGGATATTTGTGGGAAAAAAAAAAAAAACTTTTACCATTAAGAAAATGAAAAGGGAAGTGACAGCAGGGAAAAAATATTAATATGCTACCTAAAAAAGGACTTGTAGCCAACATATATAAAGAACCCTTACAATTTAATAATAAGAAAATAAACAATTTAATTGAAAATGGCAAAAATCTGAACACATACCTCATTAAGACGGTGAGGTGGTAAGTACATGAAAAGATGCTCAACATCATTAGTTATCAAATCAGTGCAAATTTAAACCACAATGAGCCACCATCACATTACCTTAGAAATGACTAAAATGAAAAACACTGACAATACTAAATGTTGGTAAGGATACGATGCAACTAGAACTTAAATACACTGTTAATGGAAATTTAAAACAGTACAACCACTTCAGAAAACTATTTGGCAGTTTCTTAAAAAGTTAAACATACCCCACTTTAACAACCCAGCCATTCCACTCCAAGGTGTTTACCCAAGAAGTCTGAAAATATATATCCACACAAAGACTTGCACATGGATGTTCACACAATAGCCTAAAACTGTAAACAACCCAAATGTCCATCAACTCATGAATGGAGAAACAAAATATGTATCTTCACATGTTTTTGTTTGTGTGCTGTCAAGTTTCCACATAATGGAAAACTATAATCAGCAATAAAAAGGAATAAACTACTGATACACTCAACAACACACACAAGTCTCAAAACGATTATGCTGACTCAAAGAAGCCAGACATAAAATAATAAACACTATATAACTCCATTTATATAAAATACTAAAAAACCCAATCTAATATATCCACCACTCATCTGTCAGTTTGTCGTACTGTGGTGGCTTCTGTGTTGCTGTGATGCTGGAAGCTATGCCACTGGTATTTCAAATACTAGCAGGGTCATCCATGGTGGACAGATTTCAATGGAGCTTTTAGGCTAAGACAGACTAGGAAGAAGAACCTGGCAATCTACTTCCAAAAAAAAAATTGGCAGGTGAAAATCTTACGAATAGCAGCGGAACATTGTCTGATATACTGCCAGGTTGGAAGGCACTCGAAATAAGACTGGGGTAGTGCTGCCTCCTCAAAGTATTGTATATCTTAATGACGTGGATGGAGTCCAGCTCAAAATGAGAAGAAACAGCTGCAAACATCCATTAATAATCAGAATGTGGAATGTACAAAGTATGAATCTAGGAAAATTGGAAGTCATCAAAAATAAAATGGAACGCATAAAGATTGATATCCTAGGCATTAGTGAGCTGAAATGAACTGGTATTGGTCATTCTGATTAGGACAATCATATGGTCCACTATGCCAGGAACGACAAATTGAAGAGGAACAGCATCTCATTCACTGTCAAAAAGAACATTTCAAGGTCTATCTTAAAATACACCGCTGTCAGTCATAGGACAATATCCATATGCTGGATTCAGAAGAGGACATGGAACGAGGGATATCACTGCTGACGTCAGATGGATCTTGGCTGAAAGCAGAGAATACCAGAAAGATGTTTCCCTGTGTTTTATTGATCACGCAAAGGCATTCCACTGTGTGGATCACAGCAAATTATGGATAACATTGTGAAGAACAGGAATTCCAGAACACTTAATTGTGCCCATGTGGAACCTGTACACAGACCAAGAAGCAGTCATTCGAAAAGAATAAGGGGATACCGTGTGGTTTAAAATCAGGAAAGGTGTGCATCAGGGCTGAATACTTTCACCATACTTATCCAATCTGTATGCTTAGCAAATAATCCAAGAAGCTGACTATATGAAGAAGAACATGGCATTAGGAGTGGTTGAAGACTCATTAACAACCTGCGTTATGCAGATGATACAATCTTGCTTGGTAAAAGCAAAGAGCACTTGAAGCACTTACTGATGAACATCAAAGACCACAGCCTTCAGTATGGATTACGTGTCAACATAAAGAAAAAAAAAATCTTCACAACCGGATCAGTAAGCAACATCATGATAAACGGAGAAAAGACAGAAGTTGTCAAGGATTTCATTTTACCTGGATCCACAATCAATGCCCATGGAATCAGCAGTCAAGAAATCAAACAACGTATTTTATTGGGCAAATCTGCTGCAAAAGACCTCTTCCAAGTGTTAAAAAGCGAAGATGTCACTTTGAAGACTAAAGGGGGCCTGACTTAAGCCATGGTATTTTCCATCACCTCATATGTATGTGAAAGCTGGACAATGAACAAAGACTGAAGAATTGATGCCTTTGAATTATGGTGCTGGACTACCAGAAGAATGTACAAATCTGTCTTGGAAGAAGTACAGCCAGAATGCTCCCAAGAAGTAAGGACGGCGAGACCCTGTCTCACATGCTTTGGACATGTTATCAGGAGGGATCAGTCTCTGGAGAAGGACATCATGCTTGGTAAAGCAGAGGGTCATGGATAAAGAGGAAGATCCTCAAGGAGATAGAGTGACACAGTGGCTGCAACAATGGGCTCAAACATAGCAACCATTGTGAGGCCGGCGCAGGACCGGGCAGTGTTCTGTTCTGTTGTACACAGGGTCACCATGAGTCGAAAATGACTCTATGGCACCTAAGAACAACAACAACAACAATCTATAGTGACAAAAAGCGGACCGCTGGTTGCTTAGGACTTGAGGCAGAGGGAAATGCAAATGGGCAAAAGGAATCCTGCGGAAGTAATGGAAATGTTCTGTACTTTGCTTCCAAAGGTGCTTTCACAGGCGTAAACATCTCTTTAATTGAATTTGTCTTTAAATTGATGCAGCTTATTGTATGTAAATTATGCCTCAATAAAGTTGATCTAAAAAAAAAGACTAGTAACTTGCATTTGCTAGTTCTCAGTATATGTAGATCAGTAAAACTTACAGCCTATAAAGATGTTTCAGATCTCCATCTAAAAAGATTATCTTCTTTGATTAAGCAGTTTGGGAAAGGTAACATAAGAAGTGGTCAGTAAGAGAAAGAATACTTAAGGAGTTGTAACAGACCAATTCCTATGATTTGGCCATGAATATAGGTATCAGGTACCACAATCATTTCAATCCCATAGCCAACTCTTAAAAAAAAAAAAATTAAAATTTACCAGGTTATGTTCATGTTTGGAGTTCCAAATAGATTGTTAAAACTTATGTAGCCAACACTATTATATCTCGTACCAGTTTTACAAAGTATTCATGAGAACGTTAACAGAGGCAATAAAAAAAAAAGGGTTTTCAAGTTAAGTAAGTTTGGGAACCACTGGGTAGAAACAAAATTAAACAGGTTTCTACATGAAGGACTTTTTTGAGCCTATACTAATGGATATGAAGAATCTCCAAGAGAGGGCTATAGTAGTAGGTAGAAATCCTATCCCAAATTTCCAAACCCTGTTGGCTCAGTGGTTAAGGGTTTGGCTGCTAATCAAAAGGTCGGCAGTTCGAATCCACCAATAGCTCCTTGGAAAGTCTATAAGGTAGTTCTACTCCTCCTAAGGGTCACTGTGAGTCGCAATTGACCTGACGGCAACAGGTTTGGTTTTTTGGTTTGGTTAATCATGGAATATCTCAAAAGCTTAATATTCCATTTCCCCATGCTACAATTCCTAGAGCATAGTATCTACCAAATATCTATTAATTCTTAAGCAAAAGGTCAGTTAAGTCAATCAAGAAAAATATACAGTAAATATATTTATTTTGTTTAAAAATGAATGCTTTAATTATTTGTAGACTATTCCCCACACCTGACACTAGTTCATTTGCTAGAAATAATCCATGATCAGCTTCCTTGAAATGTAATTTATCCAAGAATTCAAAACTTCATTTTAATCAATAGGGATCACTTCTCCCCCTACCTAAAACAAATACAGGATTCAGGAAATTAGGATAATCCCAGTCAATATATATTTTCAAAGTATTAAAAATATTTTCTAGCACAACTGGCATTAATATTTATATAGCCCTTAAGATTTTATAAAGCACTTTTCACAAACTGTATCTCATTCAATATTTCCCCAATCCTGTGAATTAGAC